TTTTGTGTCACTTTTGTGCCATTTTTAGGCTATTTTGAGGCCATTTTTGGCTCACTTTTGTGCCATTTTTGGGCCATTTCTGACCCATTTCCGTGTCATTTTTAGGCTAATTTTGGGGCTATTTTTGGCTCGTTTTTGGCTCATTTTTGGGCCATTTTTAGGCTCATTTTGGGGCCATTTTTAGGCTCATTTTTGGGCCATTCTGACCCATTTCTGCCCCTCTTTAGCACCCACCTGTAGAGCCCCAGGTCGGTGAACCAGTCCTGCACCAGCAGCACCACGTGGCACAGATTTCATATCATTTGGGGCAGTTCTGGGGGGTTGGGGCAGTTATTGGGGGGGTTTGGGTCACTTTCAGGTCAATTTTTTGCCATTTTTGGCTCATTTTTGGGCCATTTTTAGGATCACTTTTGTGCCATTTTTGGCTCATTTTTGGGTCACTTTGGTGCCATTTTTAGGCTAATTTTGGGGCTATGTTCTGGGGGGTTGGGGCAGTTATTGGGGGGTTTTGGGTCACTTTCAGGTCAATTTTTTGCCATTTTTGGCTCATTTTTGGGCCATTTTTAGGATCACTTTTGTGCCATTTTTGGCTCATTTTTGGGTCACTTTGGTGCCATTTTTAGGCTAATTTTGGGGCTATTTTTGGCTCACTTTTGGATCATTTTTAGGCTAATTTTTTGGGCCATTTTTGGGTCACTTTTGTGCCATTTTTAGGATCACTTTGGGGCCATTTTTGGGTCACTTTTAGGATAATTTTGGGTCACTTTTGCGCCATTTTTAGGCTATTTTTGGGGCCATTTTTAGGCTATTTTTGGGTCATTTTTGTCTCACTTTTGTGCCATTTTTGGGCTCATTTTTGGGCCATTTTTGGGCCATTTTGACCCATTTCCATGTCATTTTTCTGTCATTTTTAGGCTAATTTTGGTGCCATTTTTGTCTCACTTTGGGGCCATTTTTGGCTAATTTTGGTGCTATTTTTGGCTCATTTTTGGGCCATTTTTAGGCTAATGTTGGGGCCATTTTGGTGCCATTTTTGTGCCATTTTTAGGCTAATTTTTGGGTCACTTTGGCTCATTTCTGACCCGTTTCCATCCCTCTGGCACCCACCTGTAGAGCCCCAGGTCGGTGAACCAGTCCTGCACCAGCAGCACCACGTGGCACAGATTTCATATCATTTTTGGGTCCCTTTGGGGCCATTTTTAGGCTCATTTTGGGGCCATTTTTAGGCTATTTTTGGGTCACTTTTGTGTCATTTTTGTGCCATTTTTAGGCTAATTTTGGGGCCATTTTTGTGTCACTTTTGTGCCATTTTTAGGCTATTTTGAGGCCATTTTTGGCTCACTTTTGTGCCATTTTTGGGCCATTTCTGATCCATTTCCGTGTCATTTTTCTGTCATTTTTAGGCTCATTTTGGGGCCATTTTTGGCTCATTTTTGGGTCACTTTTGGGCCATTTTTAGGCTCATTTTGGGGCCATTTTTGGGCCATTTCTGATCCATTTCCGTGTCATTTTTGTGCCATTTTTAGGCTCATTTTGGGGCCATTTTTGGCTCATTTTTGGGTCACTTTTGTGCCATTTTTGGGGCATTTCTGACCCATTTCCATGTAATTTTTCTGTCATTTTTAGGCTCATTTTGTGGCCATTTTTGGCTCATTTTTGGCTAATTTTGGGCCATTTTTAGGCTCATTTTGTGTCACTTTTGTGCCATTTTTAGGCTCATTTTTGGGCCATTTTTGGGCCATTTTTAGGCTCATTTTGGGGCCATTCTGACCCATTTCCATCCCTCTGGCACCCACCTGTAGAGCCCCAGGTCGGTGAACCAGTCCTGCACCAGCAGCACCACGTGGCACAGATTTCATATCATTTTTGGGTCACTTTGGGGCCATTTTTGGGTCATTTTTGTGTCACTTTTGTGCCATTCTTAGGCTCATTTTTGGGCCATTTTGGGGCCATTTTTGGGCCATTTTGGGGCCATTTTTGGGCCATTCTGACCCGTTTCCATCCCTTCGGCACCCACCTGTAGAGCCCCAGGTCGGTGAACCAGTCCTGCACCAGCAGCACCACGTGGCACACCGTGAACAGGAAGGCGGCGATCTGCAGCGACTGCACCGCGCTCGTTAGCATCTCATTTGCATAGCCCCGCCCTCCCTCATTAGCGTGCCCCGGCCACGCCCCCACCTGGGTCTCCACGTAGGCGTGGGGCAGCGCGAACTCGGGCGGAAGCTTCCGGTCGTTGTTGATCAGGTGATCCAGGTGGGCGGGGCTAAGGATGGGCTGGGGGCGTGGCCAAAAGGGGCGGGGTCGGGGAGGCCACGCCCACAGCGGGGGGGTAATGAGGGTGGTTGGGGTAATTAATGGCGGTAATTAGGGTAATTAAGGGAATTATCATCGGGGGAATTATGGTAGTTAATTAGAGTAATTAGGATAATTAAGGGAATTATTGGGGGAGTTATGGTAATTAGAGTAATTAGGGTAATTAGGGGAATTATCATTGGGGAATGATGGTAATTAGAGTAATTAGGGGAATTATCATTGGGGAATGATGGTAATTAGAGTAATTAGGGGAATTATAATTAGGGAAATTACGGTGATGGGTGTAATTAAGGTAATTGGAGCAGTTAAAATTGGGGTAATTACGGTAATTGGAGTAATTACGGTAATTGGGATTATTATAGTAATTAGGGTAATTACGGTAATTAGGATGATCATGGTAATTAATCAGAGTAAATAGAGTAATTGGGGGAATTATCACTGGAGTAATTATAGTAATTATAGTGATTAGAGTAATTAGAGGAATTATAATTAGGGTAATTATGAAAATGGGAGTAATTACGGTAATTGGGGCAATTAAAATTGGGGTAATTAGGGTAATTACGGCAATTAGGATAATTGCAGTAACTGGGATAATTAAAATTGGGGTAATTACGGTAATTAGGGTAATTACGGTAATCAGGATAATTATGGCAATTAGGATGATTGCGGTAATTAGGATGATTATGGTAATTAGGCTAGTTACAGTTATTGGGGCAACTATAATTGGGGCAATTAAAGTAATTATACTAATTAGGTAGCTACAATAATTAGGATAATCACAGTAATTGGGGTAATTATGATAATTGGGCTGATTATAATTGGGGTAATCATGGTAATTAGGGTAACTAAATCTTTAAACTCCAAATTAAAGTTAATTAAGGGCAATTAAGCTAATTTTAAGGCATTTATTGGATAATTAATGCTATTACTGGAATAATTGAAGGTAATTAAGGGCAATTAAGCTAGCTTTAAGGTATTTCTCGGATAATTAATGCTATTAGTGGACTAATTAAAGCCAATTAAGGGCAATTAATCAACTTTCAGGCTAATTTTTTCACTAACCACCAGCATTTCCGTGCTCATTAACACTAATTAATGGCGATTAAAGCCGGGCACCGGCTGGATAAGGACAGCAGGGCGGTAATTAGCGCTGCTGAGGGTTAATTAGCGTTAATTAGCGGTAATTACCTGTGTGTCCAGGAAGAGCACGCGCTCCTGCGTGACGAACAGGTCGATGCCGCCGGTCTGGGCCCCCCCGCGCTCGCGCAGCTCCGGCGGCTGCGGCCGGAACACGAAGGAGCTGCGGGACCAGTATGGACCAGTATGGACCAGTACGGACCGGTATGGACCAGTACGGACCAGTATGGACCGGTATGGACCAGTATGGACCGGTATGGACCGGTATGGACCGGTACGGACCAGTATAAACCAGTAAAGAGTGGTATGGACTGATATAAACCAGTATAAGCCAGTATGGACCAGTATAAATCAGTATGGACTGGTACAGAGTGATAAGGACCACTATAAACCAGTATAAACCAGTATGGGCTGATATAAACCAGTATGGACCACTATAAACCAGTATAAACTGGTATAGACCGGTATGGACCAGTAACACCCAACCCCCTCCCAGTCCCTCCCAGTAACCCCAACCCCGAAACCAGTACAAACCAGAAACCCCAAATCCCCCTTTAACCCTTTCCCAGTCCCTCCCAGTAACCCCAACCCCGAAACCAGTACAAACCAGAAACCCCAAATCCCCCTTTAACCCTTTCCCAGTCCCTCCCAGTAACCCCAACCCCGAAACCAGTACAAACCAGAAACCCCAAATCCCCCTTTAACCCTTTCCCAGTCCCTCCCAGTAACCCCAACCCCGAAACCAGTACAAACCAGAAACCCCAAATCCCCCTTTAACCCTTTCCCAGTCCCTCCCAGTAACCCCAACCCCGAAACCAGTACAAACCAGAAACCCCAAATCCCCCTTTAACCCTTTCCCAGTCCCTCCCAGTCCCCCCCAGTACCGCGGGTCCTCCTCGGGCTGGTTCCCGGCCAGCAGTGACATCACCGTGGATTTCCCGGTGCCCTGCAGCCCCAGCGCTCCCACCACCAGCACGTCCGTCTGCTCCAGCAGGAACTGGGAGCGACTGGGAGTCACTGGGAGGGGCCTGGCCACGCCCCCGGCCACGCCCACCCAGCCAGAGCCACGCCCAACCCACTAAGCCCCGCCCCTGGCACATCCAGTAGCAAATGGGAGCAACTGGGAGTCACTGGGAGGCTCTTAAGCTCCGCCCACTCTGCTAAGCTCCGTCCCAGTGCGTCCAATAGGAACTGGGAGTCACTGGGAGCAACCTGGCCCCGCCCACCCCATTAAGCCCCACCCCTAACCCATCCAATAGCAACTGGGATTCACTAGGCGGCTCCTAAGCTCCGCCCCCTCAGCCCTAGCCCCACCCCATCCCAAAATGCGAGTCACTGGGAGGCTCTTAAGCCCCGCCCACTTCATTAAGCGGGAAGCCCCGCCCACCTCGAGGGCGCTGTCGCACCAGTTCATCTGCTCGTCCACCAGTTTGATGCTGCTCTTCATCTTCTCGGGCGCCGCCAGCCGCGCCTGCGCCTGCGCCGCTGGGGGCGGGGCCAGGGGGACACGCCCACTTCGGGGACACGCCCACCCGGCAGCCAAACCCCGCCCAGGTTTGGGGATACCGCGGTGGCCACGCCCCCCCGGAAACTCCGCCCATTTTAACGCTCAATAGGAGTGACTTGAATCCTTGAGCCACGCCCACTAGCTCTGGCCACGCCCACTGTGACCACGCCCATCCGAGGGACACACCCAGCTTAAACCACGCCCCTTTATTTCAATACTTTGGCCCCACCCACAAATTGGCCATGCCCACAGCGACCACACCCAGTTATGGCCACGCCCCCAGATTAAACCACGCCCCTTTTCCCATCATTTTCATACCTTAGCCTGACCTACAATCAATGACCACGCCCACAGTGAGCACACCCAATCATGGCCACACCCACCAGCCAAACCCCGCCCCTTGTCACCAGCCAATCATAATCTAGCTCTGCCCACAATGACCACACCCATAGAGGCCACGCCCACATCAGCCACACCCACCCCAAAGCACCCGATCTCCACCCAAGTCCCTTAATTATTGCAATTTAGCCCCGCCCCTCAATAAGCCCCGCCCATTTTAGCTCCTCCCACTCCCCGAGCCCATTTAAGCCCCGCCCACTCACGGTCCAGCGCGGCGGGCGGGGCCAATCCGCGGCTGTGCAGTTGACATTTTAACGCTCAATAGGAGTGACTTGAATCCTTGAGCCACGCCCACTAGCTCTGGCCACGCCCACTGTGACCACGCCCATCCGAGGGACACACCCAGCTTAAACCACGCCCATTTCCCCAAGCCGATCCCCTTTATTTTAATACTTTAGCCCCACCCACAAATTGGCCATGCCCACAGCGACCCACACTGGCCGGTTAAGGACAGCAGGGCGGTAATTAGCGGTGGTGAGGGTTAATTAGCGTTAATTAGCGTTAATTACCTGGGTGTCCAGGAAGAGCACGCGCTCCTGCGTGACGAACAGGTCGATGCCGCCGGTCTGGGCCCCCCCGCGCTCGCGCAGCTCCGGCGGCTGCGGCCGGAACACGAAGGAGCTGCGGGACCAGTATGGACCAGTATGGACCAGTACGGACCGGTATGGACCAGTACGGACCAGTATGGACCGGTATGGACCAGTATGGACCGGTATGCGCCCACTGTGACCACGCCCATCCGAGGGACACACCCAGCTTAAACCACGCCCCTTTATTTCAATACTTTGGCCCCACCCACAAATTGGCCATGCCCACAGCGACCACACCCAGTTATGGCCACGCCCCCAGATTAAACCACGCCCCTTTTCCCATCATTTTCATACCTTAGCCCCACCTGCAATCAATGACCACGCCCACAGTGAGCACACCCAATCATGGCCACACCCACCAGCCAAACCCCGCCCCTTGTCACCAGCCAATCATAATCTAGCTCCGCCCACAATGACCACACCCATAGAGGCCACGCCCACATCAGCCACACCCACCCCAAAGCACCCGATCTCCACCCAAGTCCCTTAATTATTGCAATTTAGCCCCGCCCCTCAATAAGCCCCGCCCATTTTAGCTCCTCCCACTCCCCGAGCCCATTTAAGCCCCGCCCACTCACGGTCCAGCGCGGCGGGCGGGGCCAATCCGCGGCTGTGCAGTTGATAGACAGGCTGGGTGGGGCGTGGCCCCTCCCTCTCGGTGGGCGGGGCCTGCGCCGGCCCCTCCCCCGCTGCCACCGAGGCCCCGCCCCCTCCCCGCCCCTCCTCCCCACGTGCTTTCATCAGCACGATGGGCGGGGCTGGAGCGGGAGGGGGCGGGGCTTGCGCCGGCCCCGCCTTGGGGGCAGCAGGAGGCGGCTGCTGGGGGGGAGGGAAATGACGTCATGGGGCGTAGCCACAACGAGTGGGAAGGGTCACGCCCCTTTGGTTGGTGGCCACGCCCCCCAGGCTCACCCGCTCGGCCGGGGGCTTGGCCAGGATGATTGGCGTCTTCTGCAGGGGCCCCGCTGGCTCCTCCCCCTGCTCCTGTGGGCGGGGCGAGGTCAGTGAGGCCACACCCACCACATTCACAGAAAGCCACGCCCACCCAGTATAGTCCCCGCCCCTTTCCAGACATCTCATTGGTTATTATATGGCTCTTGGCCACGCCCACAACTGCCACACCCTTAAAAAGCCACGCCCCCACCTTCCACCACGCCCTCTGTAGCAGATGTCAATCATTCCCAAGCCACGCCCCCATGCATAGCCAGGCCATGTACACCTGTCAATCACTCCCAAGCCACGCCTCACTCCACTGCAAACTGCTGTCAATCATGCTCAAGCCCCGCCCTCTCCCACATTAGCCCCTCCTACCACCAGCCCCGCCCCAACACCACTCCCACAACTGTCAATCATTCTCAAACCCCACCCCACCACCACTCCCATCCCCTCACAACCGCTGTCAATCAACCGCAAGCCCCGCCCCACCACCACTAACCCTCCCCACACAACCGCTGTCAATCAACCCCAAGCCCCGCCCCACCTCCACTCCCATCCCCACACAACCGCTGTCAATCAACCCCAAGCCCCTCCCGCCGTCACCCCTTAGCCCCGCCCACCCTCCTCTCTCCGCCTCCCTCCGTTTCCTTCTCTCGGTTCCAGCAGCGGCGCCGCGCGCCGGGGGCGGGGCTCTGCCCGGAGTCCGACATGGCGGCGGCTCCGGGCCCCGGGCGGCTCCCGGCGACGGCCCGGAGGCTCCTGAGGGGCTCCCGGAGAGGTTCGGGAACCGTCCGGGGGTGGGGGAGGGGTGGTCACAGCGCCGGTCACATGCGGGGGGGTCCGGGGGGGTCAGGCCAGCGCCAGCACTGCGGGGGAGGGGAGAGAGGCGTTACCTGGGGGCACCTGGGACACACCTGGGGGCACCTGAGACACACCTGGGGGCACCTGGGGGGTGTGGCCCAGGTGTGTAAGTCCCTCGGTGTCCCCTCTTTGTCCCCACAGGTGTGCCCAGGTGTGGCCCAGGTGTGGCCCAGGTGTGTCCCAGGTGTGTCTCACATCTCCCCACATTCCCCCCAGGTGTCCCCAGGTGTCCCCAGGTACCTCCAGGTCCCCCCCAGGTGTATCCCACATCCTCCCAGGTGTCCCCAGGTGTGCCCAGGTTTGTCCCAGGTATCTCCAGGTGTGTCCCAAGTCCCCCCAGGTGCCCCCCAGGTGTATGCCAGCTGTCCCCAGGTGTGTCCCCAGGTCCCCCCAGGTGCCCCCAGGTATCCTGAGGTGTGCCCCAGGTGTTTCCCAGGTGTGCCCAGGTGCCCCCCAGATGTCCCCAGGTGTGGGGGCTCCCGGCGCTCCCCGAGCCCCTGAGGGCTCCTGAGGCCGCTTCCGGTTCCTTTCCCGCTCCTCCCGCCCGCGCGCGGCCTGAGGGGGAGGGGGCGTGGCCTGCCGGAAACGCTGAGCGCATGCGCGGAGCTGCAAGAGGCGTGGTTTGTGACTTACTGCGCTGTAAGGGGCGTGGCCTGTCTCAGAGAGCAGCGCGCATGCGCGCATAAGTGGGCGTGACACCCGCGTCTCTGCGCGCGCGCGAAAGGGGCGTGGCTTGTATTTAAAGCGCCAGCGCGCTTTTAAATTAAAAATCCGATTAAATTAAATTTTTTAATTTTTTTGAAAAATTTTAATTAAAGTCTCGCACCGCTTGACCCTCCCCCCCCACCCAAAGAAAAAAACGACACCGAAGCCTCGTTGTGGTTTTTATTAACGGCGGGACAAGTAAGACAGGTGGGACAGGGACAGGTGAGATGGGAGATATGGACAGGTGAGGCACAGGTGAGAGATGGACAGGTGAGAGACAGGTAAGGGATAGGTGAGACAGGTGAGGGACAAGTGAGATGGGAGGTATGGACAGGTGAAGCAGGTGAGGAACAGGTGAGATAACAGACCAGTGAGACACAGGTGAGACAGGTGAGAGGTGGGACAGGTGAGACACAGACAGGTGAGGGATGGACAGGTGAGACATGGACAGGTGAGGGACACGCGAGACCCAACAGGTGAGACAGGTGAGGTAAGGACAGGTGAGACATTGACACATGCACAGGGGAGACGAGTGAGACAGACAGGTGTGGGAACTAAACCAGTCCAAACCAGTATAACCAGTACCCGCTGTCCAGGATGGGCCCGGTGCACTGCACCCCACACCAGTATAACCAGTACTCCCAGTATAACCAGTATAAACCATTATAACCCAGTATAACCACTATAAACCACTCCAAACCAGTGCTCCCACTCCAAACCACTCCAAACCAGTATAAGCCAGTATAACCAGTATAAACCATCATAACCCAATATAACCCAACAAAACCAGCCCAAACCATTATAACCCACTCCAAACCAGTATAAACCAGTCCAAACCAGTGCTCCCAGCCCAAACCAGTATAAGCCAGTATGACCAGTACCCGCTGTCCAGGATGGGCCCGATGCGCTGCAGGGACTTGGCCACGTTGAAGCGAACGTTGGCCACGGCGTCGGCGGCCATGCGCAGCACGGTGGGCAGCATCTGCGTGGTGGTCACCTCCTGGCCACACACCTCCGACAGCACCTGCGCAGGTGAGACAGGTGAGATCATACAGGTGAGACAGGTGTGACATGGACAGGTGAGATGGGACAGGTGAGAGGTGAGGTATAGACAGGTGAGATGGAACAGGTGAGAGGTGAGGTATGGACAGGTGAGATCAGACATGTGAGACAGGTGTGACATGGACAGGTGAGATGGGACAGGTGAGACACAGGGCCGTGGGCAGCATCTGCGTGGTGGTCACCTCCTGGCCACACACCTCGGATAACACCTGCACAGGTGAGACAAGTGAGATCATACAGGTGAGACAGGGGTGATATGAACAGGCGAGACACATCACATGGGACAGGTAAGACAGGTGAGATGTGAGGTGAGACATGGACAGGAGAGATGGACAGGTGAGACAGGCGAGACATGGACAGGTGAGACCAGACAGGTGAGACAGGTGAGATCATACAGGTGAGACAGGGGTGATATGAACAGGCGAGACACATCACATGGGACAGGTAAGACAGGTGAGATGTGAGGTGAGACATGGACAGGAGAGATGGACAGGTGAGACAGGCGAGACATGGACAGGTGAGACCAGACAGGTGAGACAGGTGAGATCATACAGGTGAGACAGGGGTGATATGAACAGGCGAGACACATCACATGGGACAGGTAAGACAGGTGAGATGTGAGGTGAGACATGGACAGGAGAGATGGACAGGTGAGACAGGCGAGACATGGACAGGTGAGACCAGACAGGTGAGACAGGTGAGATGTGAGGTGAGACATGGACAGGAGAGATGGACAGGTGAGACAGGCGAGACATGGACAGGTGAGATGGGACAGGTGAGACAGGTAAGGGGAGAACACGTGAGACAGGTGAGGTATGGACAGGTGAGACAGGTGAGGTGAGACAGGTGTGATATGAACAGGCGAGACACATCACATGGGACAGGTAAGACAGGTGAGATGTGAGGTGAGACATGGACAGGTGAGATGGACAGGTGAGATGGACAGGTGAGAGAACACGTGAGACAGGTGAGGTATGGACAGGTGAGACAGGTGAGGTGAGACAGGTGTGATATGAACAGGCGAGACACATCACATGGGACAGGTAAGACAGGTGAGATGTGAGGTGAGACATGGACAGGTGAGATGGGACAGGTGAGACAGGTAAGGGGAGAACACGTGAGACAGGTGAGGTATGGACAGGTGAGACAGGTGAGGTGAGACAGGTGTGATATGAACAGGCGAGACACATCACATGGGACAGGTAAGACAGGTGAGATGTGAGGTGAGACATGGACAGGTGAGATGGGACAGGTGAGACACAGGGCCGTGGGCAGCATCTGCGTGGTGGTCACCTCCTGGCCACACACCTCGAATAACACCTGCACAGGTGAGACAGGTGAGATCATACAGGTGAGACAGGTGTGATCCTATCCCACTCAGGTGCCCCCAGGTGTGCCCCCAGGTGTGCCCAGGTGTATCCAGGTGTGCCCAGGTGTAGTTCTATCCCCCTCAGGTGTGCCCAGATGTGTCCCCAGGTGTGCCCAGGTATGCTGTGGGTCTACCCAGGTGTACCCAGGTGTGGTTCTATCCCCCTCAGGTGTATCCCAGGTGTGCTGTGGGTCTACCCAGGTGTACCCAGGTGTGGTTCTATCCCCCTCAGGTGCCCCCAGGTGCGCCCAGGTACCCACGTTGATGCAGAAGAGCGTGGTCATGCGGTGCAGGTAGTTGGGGTCGGCGGCCATGGCCAGCACCTTGGGCACGATGGTGCCCTGCGCCCAGGTGTGCCCGAAGCGCTCCACCAGCTTGCGCAGGTTACTGGTGGCGGCCTCGCGGATGGCGTACACTGCGGGGAACCAGTACGGACCAGTAAGGACCAGTATGGACCAGTATGGGCCAGTATGGGCCAGTATAAACCAGTATGGACCAGTATGGGCCAGTATGGGCCAGTATAAACCAGTACGGACCAGTATGGGCCAGTATAAACCAGTACGGACCAGTATGGACCAGTATGGACCACTACGGTCCAGTGCAAACCAGCCCTGACCAGTATGGACCGGACCAGTATGGACCAGTATAAACCAATATAAATCGGTACGGACCAGTAAGGACCAGTATAAACCAGTATGGACCAGTATGGAGCAGTAATAACCAGTATAAACCAGTTTGGACCAGTACAAAGCACTATAAACCGATATAGATCAGTACAAACCAGTACGGACCAGTTTGAACTGGTATGGACAAGTGCAAACCAGTATGGACCAGTACGGACCAGTACCACCCACCCTCAGCAGCCAGTAAGCCTCCCAGTA